TTAATTGAGTAAGACACTAAACCATGCTGGTGTACAGACCAAGATCACTGCGTTAATTGTTAAACCATTAAGTGATTTATTTCGGGATAACAGTATGTTTTAAATTCATGTTTGTGAAAAGCAACACCATGAAGGACTTACGCGAGTGTGCTGAAATTTTCAGGAAATTCAAAGTAAAGCATGATACGCAAATGATTAGAATTTCAGACCCGTGGCGTATGCTGAGCAGCGCCCTCTGAACGGCGGATGGATCCGAATAAATAGACTGCTGTAGCGAGGCGTGTATGGCTATCGGTAGTTATCTGCTAGTAGTAAACGTTAGCTCAGTCGTTACTTATGCCTTTTCGACGAAAGAGAGTGATATTTCAACAACTTACGGAGTTAGGACGGGGGAGAATTATCGTCCTTCGTAAAGCTGAATTGTCTTATCGCGCAGTAGCAGCACAGTGATGCGTGTTTGGAAGCAGTGGACGGACGAGTGTCGGACAACTCGGAAATCCGGGAGTGGACCCCGAAATGTCACGTCAGCTCGCGATGATAGACACCTGGTCCGCATGGCTCTGACGAACCGTACGGCTCCCTCAAGACAACTGGCAGCACAGTGGTCAATAGCTACAGGTGTTTCATTGTGTGCTTCATCAATTCGTGGACGTCTGCTGCAGCGTAGACTGCGCGCAAGGACTCCTTTATACAGGATCCCCCTCACACTAAACCTTCGCCGCCTGCGGCTGCAATGGGCCAACCAGCATAGGGACTGGCTTGCTGATTGGCAGCGTTTCGTGTTTTCTGATCAATCTCGTTTCAATTTGTGGTACCATGATGGCCACATTCGTGTCAGACGCTATGCCGGTGAACGCCATCTTCCGGAGTGCGTTATCGAACGCGACAGTGGACGAACACCCGGGGTTATGGTCTGCGGTGACATATCATGGCCGATCTCAATTGCTACGAATTGTGGGTAATCTGAACAGCAACCGGTACACCAGTGAAGTTCTACAGCCCCAAGCTGTTCCCTTCCTTCATGCCTTGGCAGGTGCTGTATTTCAACAGGACGATGCCCGCCCTCATATTGCTAAGATTGTTCAATCCTTTCTTGCATCGCGGCTGGTACAGCTTCTTCCTTGGCCTGCGTATTCCCCGGACATGTCGCCGATTGAACATGTGTGAGATTTCGTTGGTCGGCGTCTCGCTCGTGATCCTCTCCCTGTTGCTTCTACAGACGAACTTTGGGTACGCATACAAACAATTTGGAATGCTCTTCCTCAGACAGATATTCAAAATTTGCTTGACTCAATGCCACGTCGTGTGGCCTCACTTATTGCGGCGCGTGGTGGCTACACAAAATACTGATTTCGATCTCTTGTTATTGTTAGTTTGCTATGAAAGTTTAATCATTTATTTATACCCCTACCACTCAACTGCGTATTAAATTTCATTCAATTATGACGATTCCTTCATGGTATTGCAATTTTCACAAACATGAATTTATTTTGGCCCAGTGCAACAAGCAGCATTCCAAACCTTAAAACAAAAACTTTCTGAAAATTCTGTACTATATATTTGCTTGAGTTGCTTACCGATGGGAGTAAATTTGGGCATGGTGCTATTCTTCTTCAGCAATTCGATGATAACAAACTTCACCTTATACATTAAATGAGTAAAAAAACGACTCCTCATGAGAATTCATTCAATTTAGGAACTTGAGGTATTGTTGATAGTTGAGGATTTGAAAAAATTTAGAAATTATTTGGTGGGAAATAAATTTAAAGTAGTAACTGACTGTTCTGCTTTCCAAAAGACTATAAGTAAAAAGCAATTGACTCTTAAAATTGCTAGGTGGGCAGTATGTTTGGAAGACTTTGACTATGAAATTGTGCATCGCAGAGGTAAACAAATAAAACACGTTGATTGTCGGAGTAGATGTACTATTATGGTCATTACTTGTGACGAATTAACCTCTAAAATTGTTACTAACCAGTTAAATGACAAATATGTTAACTCCATTAAACAACTTTTAGAAAATAAAACAGTAGAAGACTTTGTAGTAAAAAATAATGTTTCGTATAAACTTGAGAATGATACTTATTTGCTAGTGGCTCCCCAACTAATGCAAACTGACATTATCAAAGCCACACATGCCAATGGCATTTTTGTATTAGTAAAACCCTTGATGTACTTAGACGAAACTATTAATTTCCGAATATGAAGAAATGTGTTGAAGAGGTAAGTAAATGTATTGAATGCACATTTGTAAACAGGAAGGCAGGAAAAAGATAAGGGTTTTTGAACCCGATACCTAAAAATGCTATTCCCTTAGATGCCTACCATATAGATTTCATTGGTCCTATGCCTTCCACCAATAAACAGTTTCGCCATGGTGAATGCTTTCATCAAGTTTGTCTGGTTTTACCCAACTAAATCAGCGTCAAGTCGAGATGCAATAGCATAGCTGCGAACTCTACTGGATTTTTCCAGTTTCTCCTGTTTACTGATGGTTATTGTACATTTGAAAATTCCCTGAAGTTGAATAAGAAAAAATATATAACGTATAATAAATATATATCCTATATAAAATATTTATTCCATTGAAATAGATTTTTTGCACAGATTATTGCTTGCTTGATTATTCAAGTAAGTATTATATGTATATAATAAAGCTAGCCTCATTTAAACAGATCAATTTAAAACTTTTTTTTTTTAAATTCTAAAATCTTCAGTTTCTTTTTTAATTATCTTTGATGAATTAAATACCTATTACTATTCAAAATTATCAGTAAATATAATACATAACATTTCAAGTTCATTTAATGTCCGTCATAACTAGAAAATATTGCAGTTTTTCTATTTTTGATAACTATGAAAATCGCTAATATTCCCCATGCGTAAAATATTTAGTACATTATGCAACAATTATCATGAAATTTATATTTCGTAAAATCTACTGGATTTTTTTCCCCATCCATGTTGGCAGATATGCAATAGATACGCTTAAAACTCAACAGATCACTTTTGGGGACCCTGCACGAGTAATCACTTACAAGGATACCGCGTTTACATCGTCAGAATTTGAGACTTATTGTCAAGATGAAGGTATCGAACAGGTGAAAAAAACAGTTATCCGCGTGGTAACGGACAGGTAGAGATAATGCATAAAACCCTCTTACCTATGCTCTCAAAACTGTTCATATCATATCCCAGAAAATGGTACAACAAGCATGTTTCCTCAATACAAAAAATCATGAACAGTACAGAGTCGAGAGCTACGAAATTCCCGCCTTCCGAGTTTCGCCTTCTTGGAGTAAAATTAAAGGACAACACTGATTTAAAAATAAAGGAAGCACTAGAGACTGGAGGAAGAGATTCTTAGAACAAGTATCGAAATGAACATACATAAGATTCGGGAGTTTCAACAAACGTCGAAAAGCAGCCCGTGTATACAAGCCAGGTAAACTGGTGGCCATAGCAAGAACTCAATTTGGAACTGGACAAAGATTGCGACCGAAATTCTTTGGGCCGTATAAAATCATTAAAGCCAACAGAATGACTGATATGATGACGTACACAAAGTTGGAGATCATGAAGAACCTTGTAACACGTTGTTTTTGAGCTGATCACATGAAACCGCTGTCAATAATTAAAAAATAATAATAATAAAAATTCTATACATTGCTGTTTCGTTTTCCTTTTTGTTTCTTCATGTGGCTGTTAATTGTCTCTTAAGCTTATTCTTCAATGAGGTAATAGATTCAAAATGCGGACATTTTCAAGATGCCGAGAAGCTGTAGGATTTGTTATCGAACATTATGCTTGAAAAACCATCTACTTCCTTCGCTGAGCGGCACCGGAATACTTCCACTAAATATATATATATATATGTGGGAGTTAGTGCAGCATAGGAGTAAATAACGACGATAATTTAACAAACATAAAAATTTAATAGAAATAAAAGGATGGAAGGATATAACAGTGACATGTTTGGCGAGAGCTGGCTTCTCGCAGGATCGCCAAAACGGATGTGACTAAGAATTAGAGTGTTCTATGGTATAAAGTTAAGAGTTAATTACAAATTCGGGAGTTTCCCTTCGGGACTTCCCCTCGGGACAGGATGGCGCCTCTCAATGTCAAGGAAGTAGTATCACATGATTTCTTTTCAGTATTACATGATAAAGAATAATGCAATCGGCTGAGATATTACACCATGGCATTGAAACCTACATACATATATATATATATATTTAAAAATTTCTCAATGCATGTAAATTATCTAATGTCTTTAAAGACTCTTTTTGTTCACGCACAACAAAATATCTGAAATATTTATTGTAACCTATTGATACAGTTACTTTTTTGAGGTTTATGTGAACCACAAAAAAATAATGGAAGTGGTGGTGAAACTTCTTTGTTTTTTATTAATTTTTGGTAGAGAAACTCCCCAAAATTTTATAAGAAAGAATATAAAACTCAAATTTTTATTCTTTTAGAATGATTTTAGAAAATTTTTATGATTTTAAAACATAATACTACTTTCTAAACTGACTAACGAACTTATTACCACTTTTTTATATTTTAATTTTTTTGTTTGTGATAAATCAGTATCACATAATATGACCTTCCTATCCTAAATAGGTTGATTTCATTTTTAATATTTTTATTTATTTTAGTCAGGGAAAATTACTAAGAACGTAAGTAACATATTTCTTAAAATTTATTGTTACAAACTGTATAAAACTCAACGTTGAAACAGTTAAATCTGGCCATAAATTCTCTCTTGCTAATTCTCTTAGCATTAAAAATAATGTCTTTCGTGTCAAATGCCTGTATATGGGAACTATTGCTCGGGACCAGCCCTGTTTCAGGGCCCGGGCCCTGATCGGTAAAGTCATGGAATTGATAATTATAAGACGCAGTAAACTACTAGTTTTATATCCTGCTTTGATTGCGGTTGTTAATAAGTTGATTCACTTAGTTAAATTTGTATTATAATTTTATTTATATTGCGTTTTTGTTTCTCTTTTTATTGTGTTCAAATCTTAAATATTAAAAAGGAAGAGAGAAAACTCCTTTGCATCGTAAAATGTAGATTCAACTCAAAATAATATCTTTCATCTGCTCAAATAAAACGCTAATATTTTGTTGTAATGTAATACGATAGCTTTCAATATTTTATCAAATGATTCATCCTATTCATTTCGCTGCTGATGCCCTATAAAGCTATCAAAACTTTTTTTTATATATGTATTCAAAATGTTATCTTTTACACAGAACTTCCTGTCTCTTGAGCATGTAACAGCATAAATTAATTTCAAGACTTCCGGAATTAATACAATTACGAAATGAGAAACAGAATGAATGAAACCTATTTATATGACGTCAGTTATAAGTTTCAGTTTAGGAAATTTTTCAGGGTTATAGAACTCTGCAACTGCGGTAAAGAATTACTCATAGTTTGTGCATTTCTTCTTGTAGTTAAAAGGAATAAAATCTGTAACATAAATTATTTAACAATGGTGGAAGATTGTAAAATTAATGCTAGTCGCATCTGCTTTGCAGTTGGCGAGATTTTTTATTCGAAAGAAAAAGTATTTAAAAATATTTTAGGAGTTGATTGGTTTGTGAGCGCTCAACCAGTAAAAAAGTTAGAACTCAAAAAATCCCGTTCGTTTCGAAACATATCTTTCCTTTCAAATGTAGTTAAAATGACTCTTAGATGCAAAGCCCTCCCTAGGCGGGTTTTAGCGGAAATCAAAATCATATCTTGTCCGCTACAGCATCCGAACATGAAAGATATGATCTTTAATCATGTCTGCGAGAAGGGAAACAATTCCATCAGTTCAGAAGTGAAATTTGATTCTGCTGAAGAATATTCTTGGATGACCCTTAACGGTGAGTTCAGTTTGTATGTTAGTCCAGAGAACTTCTTCTATTTCAAGTTCTCAAACGATAATTCATTAGAAGCTGGCGTTAGTGAAAGCAGTCAAAATATTCTAAGCGAACTTACAAACGATTTAAGTGAACTTTACGAGAAACAGTATTTTTCCGATTTAGATATAAAATGTGGTGAAGAAGTGTTCAAAGCTCATAAGGTGATACTGTCATCTAGATCACCAGTATTTGCTGCTATGTTCCAACACAGAATGAAAGAAAGTGAAGAAAATGTTATACACATTAAAGATATGGATCCCAATGTGCTATCTATTTTGTTGGAATTCATTTATTGTGGCAAAATTGATAAGTTGAATAGTACGCGGACAGCTGGTGATCTTTTGTCAGCAGCTGAACAGTATCAATTGGCAAGTTTAAAAAATGCCTGTCTTACGTTCTTGCAATGTGCTATGTCTGATGATAATGTGCTATCCACTTTGGCCATTGCTGATTTGTACGATTCAACATTAAAAAAAGTATCTGTTGATTTTGTATGCAAAGAATTTGATCATTTAAAAAATACTGAAGAATGGAAAGCATTTCAAAAGGAAAAACCGGTATTGGCCAACGAAGTCTTATTGAACATTATTGGATTTGTTAGTAAGCATGGACATAAACTGTGCTAAAGCTAATTTTGGTTTTTATTATCCACGTTTAGTATTGGTAAACGAGGTCTTATTGAATATCATTGGATTTGCATGTAAACATAGACATAAACTGTGCTAAAGCTACGATTAGAATTGGTCAATGAGGTCCTATTGAATGTTATTGGATTTACTTTTAAAGATGAGCATAAACTGTGCTAAAACTATTTTTTTTTATCTACTTTAGTTTACGTTACGTTTTGTTTTTATCTACGCATCCTTTCTGTATGACAGTGTAAATACTTATTATTTTTATTTTATATCATTAATTTAAAAAATTATCAGACAGTTATTATTTTATGATGATACTATTTTACTTTATTATAAACTGATTAAATATTTCTTATAATAGTGAAATATATTTCTAATTTGTTTATAGAATTTTTGAACTTATTTCTGTTTCTTTTTTTCCTTAATAGTTTTAGTATTACGTCATTTCATTACAAGAGTGAAAATGATTTTGTTTTATATTACTAATTAAAAACTTATCAAACAGTGATGTTACTTATTCTACTTTTTATGGATTAATTAAATATATAGTACTGTTTTAGAAAATTTTTCTAATTTTTTTATGGAATTGAATATTTAATTAATTTGTGTTTATTATCAAACGCATGTCAGAGTTTCAAAGAATTCATTCTTAATTTATTCATTATTTTACTGAGCATGTACTATATCATTAGCTATTTAAAATAAGTCTTTAACTCAGTTCATTATTCACTATTTGTTTGTTTGTTTAAAAAATACTGTAAACAGAAAAACATAATATTTTTCTCAAAAAAATGATAACCATTTTTTAATTTAAATCTTATATACATTTAACAAAAACGTTTTAAATGTTTGTTTATTAATGGTATTAATGTTTGTTTATCATTGTTACAATTTTAAATTTTATTTTTATAATTTGTGGGTTTTTATTATTAATTTTTGATGAATATTCATTATCACGTTACAGTTACAAGGAATTTCATTTTCAGGGTGTTCCATAAGGACTACCCTTAATATTTGTTTTTGGAATCCTTATCGAAAGGAAAACAAAAAGGAAAAATGAAATGAAAACATATTAGTGGCGCAAATTATCATTTAATCAAGAGAAAAAAATGCATGAAAGCTAATAAAATCTGAGAAACCACAGAACAAGAATGAGCAGTAATCTGGAGTAGAAAAACAGTTAAAAATACCTTCAAGATTTTTCCAATTAAAACTGTTTTGATGTTTTATTACACTCACCTTCCGCTTCTGTAATTTATTAGATTTCATCGTGTTTTTTTATTTTTCCTTCGCTTAAAATTATATAGAGAAACCCAATGTGAATTTTTTTTTCTTCCCTTTTAATAAGGATTCTAAAAATACAAATTAAAGCCGGTCTTTAGACCTTTTCTTTTATATGGTCATTTTTTTAGTTAAAGTTTTTCATGTTCATAATAAAAATTTATATTGTTACTACATATCTTTAAATACAGTTTTATATTGGATTCGTTCTTGTAATTTTCTTCATTTTGTCATGTGTTTACATTAGATTTTTTTTTTACTACTTTAAAAAAATAGGTAAAATTGATTAGAAGTAACAAAACGATTAATGTTTTTAAAATATAAAATTACTTGGCATGCTTTAATAATTTTTATTTATTTGCTTTTGTTTTAGGGAAATATTCTTACTAAAATGTTATTGTTTATTTACAATCTTTTAAAGACATTCATAATGTAAGTAGGAGTCCATTATCCTGCTCGAAATGCTCGGCAAGTCCCGAAACTGCTTTCGCAGCCCCGTTTAGATCGCATTGCATATTAATATATTTTAGTGTATCTCTTTTTATATGGTGGTATTCTTTTTATTTTCTTATTATGTCCTGTTTGTCTGGTGAAACTTGGAAATGTTTTTAATAATTCCTTTCATATCTTCTGTTTACTCCGGCATTCAAGCAGGCTTTAATGTTTTAGCTTTCATTTTGACAAGAATTCTAAAAATGTATATTAAGGGCAGTGATTATGGATTATCCTTTATTGGATTCCCCGTAATGATTGACCCTTACCTTAATGAAATTAATTTAAATCGAATTCGCAAATTGAACTCGCAATTTGTTAAAATAAGAACAAAAGAAACTTTTTCAAGGGTAAACCAATGATTATTCAAGAGGAGAAGAGCAGATTTTATATTAAATTTATATAAATCCTGTTGTTTTGAGAATGAATCTTAAAAACATCGCTTAGCGAATTGTGGATGCTATACACTACCACTAGATAAACTTATTTGTGATGATTTTAACCACTTCCTTGCTTTCGTTCACCTCAATAGTTATTGAACATAGAATGAAAACGTTTTTGATTATTATTATTATTATTTTTTTTTGTTTAACTTAACACCTCCATTTATTTATACAGTGAATCTGCAAGGTTATACAAGTACGTTTCATCCACAATAAGCTTCGCTGAGGACCGCTCAAAACCACCTAATTGTGGGATGATGATTTTTATTCCCTGTTTCAATATGTCCCTTGGAGTTGAAGTAGGAATATTTTACAGGCCAATTGATGTGTAATAGTTTGTGAATACTCATAAAGCCAAACACATATCTTTCATGAAGAACTTTTCTGTTGTCCTCTTAAAAATTAGTGGTATTTTCATCATACTCGTCTTGAAAATGTTGACTGAAAGACAACACTTGATAACACAAAATGTTAAAATAAGCAGGCTAGTTCTTGTTATTGATCACTTTAGTGAACAAGCTCAAGTTATGCTAAGAAAAACACTATAAAAGTGGTGGTAAGCGGTTCTTCATGTCTTCTTCAAAAGAAATAAATTTTTTACCCGGTGAGCTTAATTTTAATCACATTTAATTGAATACTTAAAAGCGACGTAACGCTTCTGAATCGACAGATGCCACGATCTACCTACGAAGACGTCACTTTTCATTATTCATATGAATGGTTTTGATTCAAATCTACTTCATTGGAAGATGTGAATCTGTAGTTGCAATACTGATTCAATACTGTAAAAATCATCAAAAACAATCAGTAATCAAAAACAAAGGCTAACTTAAGCAACAATGAAAGGCAGTACAACGAGTTCGATTAAAAAAGCAGACGATATTTTTGGAACTGTTTGTGGAGTTATTGATTTAGGCCGAGTTTTTGGTGGAAAAGTACAGGGAAACCGTTTCGGAAAAAAAAAGAACATAGATTTTGTTGAGAAATGTAGACCAAAGGAGTTCGAGTTTTATCGTCTTAAGTATTTCCTGCTAAAAATAACTTTAGTTCTGATGTCATCAAATAAAAATCATCTTAATTGATAGAATTATTAGAATTTCGTTTAGTTAGAAATGATGAAAAGCTTTCTGATACTTTTTATATTAACTGGATCTTCAGAATACCAATAAACCAACTGAGCTGATTAATTCGATTCTATTATTTTAATGATTCTTTTTTATTTAACCTTAATTTGAAATTTTATGTAGTCATTTTTTATAGATATCAGAACAGGAGAAAACGGTATTCAAATGGCTAAATTATTTAAATCGTTTAATCTAGTCATTTTGACTCATAAATTAAAATAGAAATCTAATCCCATTTTACTTTTGACTTTTTTTCACTAGATGTGTTTCGCAGGATTTTGAGCTTACAGAGAAAGCGAATGATAGGGACTACGTATTATATACCGATTTTAATTTGTCTCAAGAAATTTATCCATTCGATTTTTGTTTGTCTCTAGTCCTCTCTAGAAATTCCATCACCTGCTTCATGGAGTTTATTTTTTAAATTTGATTTCGAAAAGTGATTACAATTTGAGAATAGGATCGAAACACAAAAATTGATGCTATGTTCAATTGTGTTCGGTGTTATCAACTACAACTTGAGAACAATAATGGATATGAGCACAGTTGAAAGAACACGACAAGTTAGTAAAATTTTTTTATTCATATTTTTCAGATGTTATACCTTTATTACTTGCAAAGCTATAAAAAGTATTTTATTTACTTTATTTTTTATCGATTTTTTAAGAGTTAAAACCAGGGTTGTGAAGTCGGAATCAGAAGACTCCGAACAACCTCAAGAGTCGGGAAGATTAGATCGCCATTTTCACTCATAAATTTATGTGATTCTTATTCTCCTATCTCGTTTTAATAGAAATCTTAATTTTCTTGTAACATATCTTTTACCAGATGCGTTTGACAGATTTATCAACTTACGGAGAACGCGAAGGCTTGGGACTATTATGTACCGATTTTAGTTCGTCTCAAACTCCGCCTCTCAAGAAATTCCACCACCTGTATCAGGAAATTTATTTATTATTTTTTTATTCGATTTCGGAAAGTGATTATAATTTGAGAATCGGATAGAAATAGAAAGTAAACTTGATAATTTGTTGGCGTAGCTGTTCAGTTGCGTATTAATTATCTAATAATGAACAACATGAGAACAACAATGGATATGTGCCCAAATGAAAAAACAAGATTACACGACAAGTTTGTATAATTTTTTTTATAAATATTCCTCAGAGGTGTCTACTTACAATGTTATAAAAAGTGATTTGTTTATTTCTTTTTATCGAATTTTTTTAAAGTTAAAACTAAAGTTGCGACGTCAAAAGCAATTTTTCATGAAAAGTTGATCCTTCTCAGGTTGGTCCTGTCAAATCTAATTGAAAATTAGGTCCTATTGGTTAAAAACAGTTTTAAATCTTACGCAAATTATTTGGACTATTATTTATACTTAAGTGAACAAAAATATTACTCGAATGAATTCTATGACAATTATGATACACATTTATCTTATAATTAATTTATACCATTTGTACTTTTTGTGTCAGTGTTTGATTGAACTATTGAAAAAGAACTCAAATATCAAAACTGCATTTAAAAATCGAGATCTTGAGCTATAGTAAAATTTAAAACCTGGGGATTAAATTTTAAAAAAAAAATGCCTAAGCGAAATATTTATCAATCGGCAACTTGGAACCAAAGGACCCCCAAGGGATATTATTAATTACTTGTGATCAAATTTTGATATTAACTAATGTCTCACAAAAATTATATTGTTTTTTAATGTAAAGAACAAAAAGTGTTTGTAAAGCCTTATCGTTTTTCGTAAGTTAAGCGCTATCACTATTTGAGTTTCACAGCGCATGCGCAAGAATATTTAAAACTGATCCTAAAATCGCTAAGGGATAGAAAATGAGGTCGTTATGGTTAACATTAAGACAAATGCTATGGAAAACCTCACTAGTATAGAGCAAATCAATTTTTCTTGCACTTGATTCAACCTAAAAGGAAACATGGTTCAATTTAAAACCTTATTTCAGGTTGCAGCATATTCACGTGATATTAGGATTCTAGGTACCGGTTTTATGGTTTAATATGTGATATTTTTGAAAGTGTTTGATTATGCTACGCATTTTCATTGTATTTATTTTACAATTATATTCTTTCCCCCACTTTTTTTTAAAAAAAAAGAAGAAAAAACTTGACTATATAATATTCTGCGTTACTAGGTAAATGACTCATATGCAGAGTGATATTTTACTGGCTCCCAATTTCCATATTTTTATTCTTATTTTTTGATTTTTTAAAAAAGTGCAGATTTAGATCGAAGGGTACGTAAAAATCAGTGAATAATTATTAGTCATTTTCAATTCATTCAGTTAAATATTAAATTGTGGTTCCCGATGTGTCAAATTTTTCTTTAGCTAATTTTCTTTTTTCAAGTACTCTAAAAACGCATAATAAGACGAATGACTACTAAAGTGTTTGTTTATAATTTTTTGCCATTTTAATATTTTGGAAAAAATAATAATAAGATCCGCTTTTTTTGTTTAAAAAAATCAATATTTATTCAATCAATATTTAAATCAATATTAATACTTATTTCCATTTTGTTGGCTTCGGTAACCTTGAAGATAAGAGAAAGAAAAAAAAGATAATCCAACTGTTAATGAAATATGGAGATTTATTTGCTCTGTTATCTGAATGAAAGAAATCAAATTCATTCCACTATAAAAAATAAAAAAATGTGTTTGTTTACATTACACGCAATCAGCAAAAACAAAACAAAACATAAATGAATATAAAATAAATAGAAATAAATATGGTGATCACAAATTCAAAATTTAAAGCTTTGTTTCAAATTTAAAGCTATAGATCATAACCTTTTTTTTTTAACACTTTCAATATTGCACTTTTTTTTTACGTTTATATCAACTTGCCTTCGTGTATGTCTGTTCGGGTGGAATTTTGTAATCGATTTTAAACTAACTTCCAGACTAGCTACAGACTTCAAATTTGGCACATAACTCAGAAGTGGATGACAATGCATGAAAACGAAGAAAAAAAGACATACAAAGTAAAATAAAATTAAAGAAAAATTAATATTTTCGCGATTGTCTTTTGTTGTCGATTCGATTATTTCAAATTAGTGTCATATGTCAGTTGAAAAGTTTTGTGTACAGTGAGTGAAAAAATTGAGATTTTGGAAGTGAGTACAAAAAAAAAACAAAATAAAAATAATATTTCTAAAAACCACGTTTTTGTAGTGGAGAATAATAATTAAAAAACAAAAATTTGAAAAACGAAAAACGTGGGGTGCATGAAATACATAACATGCACAACCACATACACATGAATATACTCAAACATATTCCACATCCACATTCAGATACAATTACAGATATACATACACATATTCTCATGAGTTCACATACTGTTATATATTTCATGCGCCCTACGTTTTTCGTTTTTCAAATTTTTGTTTTTAACTATTATTCTCCACTACAAAAACATGGTTTTTAAAAATATTATTTTGATTTTTTTTTTCTCATATTGTAATTTTTCTTACAGACTATAATTTTATTTGCTATGAAATAAACAAATCTTTGATTCAAAATTCACGAAATATACGATGAAAAAATATCGATGGAATTTTATTATGTATGAAAATATAAGTTTAACTACGTAATTTCTTAGAAAAAAGGGGAGATAAAGAAAGATAATTTTATAATAGTTTCGACGCGTCAACACAGTGTAAAAACTGATCTTAATTCTAATTAAAATTAACTTCGTAATGAAAAACTCTTCTCATTCATAACATTTAATATTATTCGATTAAATCGCAACTTTTTACTTTTTTACTGTAAATATTATTTTTATTAAATCACACACTCATTTGCACCCATACTTATTATTATTCGACTTTGCAAAAAAATCATTAAATTTTAAAAAAAAATCTTTCAACTTAATTTACGTAAAAAAATTCTTTATTTCTCAAAAAATAAATTATGTTATAAAAATTGACTTTTGTTATTTAAATTATAACTGCATCTTATATTCTATCTTTTTGATTAGAAAATATATAAGAAAATCTAAAAAAAAAAATTAACAGATTCTTCGTGCGGAAAAGATAGGCTAACAAGGGAAACTAGGGAAGTGTGACTCGCCAATTTTGAAATAAACTAGTGGGATGTATGCCTTATGAGGAATAATTTTAGGGGGCAACATTCGTTTCGGCCCATAGAAGGTCCTGTGAGAGATAAAAAATAATTCATATGTAGAAAAATCGGTATTTTATTACTTCAATGCAAACAATTAGTTATTGTAATTGTCTCATACTCNTAATTAAAATTAACTTCGTAATGAAAAACTCTTCTCATTCATAACATTTAATATTATTCGATTAAATCGCAACTTTTTACTTTTTTACTGTAAATATTATTTTTATTAAATCACACACTCATTTGCACCCATACTTATTATTATTCGACTTTGCAAAAAAATCATTAAATTTTTAAAAAAAAATTTCAACTTAATTTACGTAAAAAAATTATTTATTTCTCAAAAAATAAATTATGTTATAAAAATTGACTGTTGTTATTTAAATTATAACTGCATCTTACATTCTATCTTTTTGATTAGAAAATATATAAGAAAATCTAAAAAAAAATTAACAGATTCTTCGTGCGGAAAAGATAGGCTAAGTTGTATTAAAGAAGAGTAAGATCTTGAATAAAAGTTACGTATAATATTTTCACAAATGTATGAGTACACTGATAAAAATTTAAACTTTCATAAAATTTTATAAAAGAAAAAGTTTCACGAAATGTTCTTAATTCAATTTGCATTTCATACAATAAATTTCGAAATTTTTCACGTAACATTAGCTCTACACAATACTGGGAATCAAATTTTTTAAAAATAAAATTTTTCTAAATAAATTGTTGCTCAAGAGAGATTATGATAACGTGTAATTAAATTTGTGTAATAAGTAATGTCTCACAAAAATTGATAATATTTTTTGGTGAAACCAGGCATAGATGTCATCTTGTGCGCAAATGATGTAGAAAATTAGGTTTCTGACCGTACACAATATAAAATATTAAAAACTCAAATAAATAATTTTTAATATTTTAAAGGTACACTATTCCCTTAAAAAATAAAAGTTGAAAACATACTTTTTACACCTTAATGTAACAGTTCTCAAATGGTGTTCTGCTAAACCCTAGGGTTCTGTGGAATAGTAAAAGGGGTTCCCAGAATTATGACTTTTTTAAGCAGTTTTTTTTTAATTTTTAACTCTGTAATTTTATTTAAATACGATAAATAATCCATTATTTACTTATTATTTCGATTGCATTTATTAAATTATTTAAAATTAAAAGGCCCAAGAGAGAAAAATTAAATTTAAAAAAATCGAATGACAACCATTATAAAAAAGACATACATTCATAAAAAACTGCAATATTGTTTCACATTGCTATTTTAAAATAAAAGTAAAATAACTGAATTCTTTAATAAAGAAATATGTTTCTCTAAAAATCGTTTTCAACCTTTATAGCATTTTTTTTTTTTTCATTTTTATATCATTATACAGTAAAAACAAATTTTTAGCTAGAATAGATTCACTTTTAGGACTGTGAATTCACCTATTGAACATAAAATCTAATTTAAGATAAAATGATGGAAAAAAATTTCATTCGTAGTCGGAAATAAAAATGGGAACTGCTGCTTTAAAGAATTATTTATTTCTTTACATATTATTCTTTTTATATTTCTTTATACTATATTATTCTTTTTATATTTTTATATATTATTCTTTTGATATTTCTTTACATAATATATTTATTCCTTAAAGAATTTTTCCTCTCCTTTACTTTCGTTTCCAATTTAAAACTGATTACTTTTGGAACTTTTTTTTCTTCCAATTTAGTGATTCAGATAATGGCTGTCACCCGAAAACAACACTCGAGAAAAGACTTGTGGTGATTATGTTCTTCTTAGTTGTGGGAGGAGTTGGATTATGCATAACACTAGCAGCTTATTACAGAAGTATGTATAGTAATAAGGAAAGTATAAATACTGTTCTTAAATATTTTTATAGCATGTTCAAAAAACATGTAATTATACTTGAATGTTGATGACTATGCTCTTTTAGTGGTGTTTGATTTAGAGAAGTTTTTATAATGTTAGATAACCTTTGTGATTTGGCTTCAAATCTATAGTTGCAAAATTAAACTAGTTTATGTAAAAAATAAATAAATGAAAAGATTTGTGAGAATAAAGAAAATTGGTGTTTATTTAAATAGTGAAAATAAAACACTCAAAAAGGGTGGGAAAATACTTTTCCATTCCAATCATACACAGTAACTATTTTCTTTTAAAACTGCCCTAATTATTTCTGTTAATTTTTCCAAGTAAAAAGCATTTGTTTCAATGAAATTTTACATTTTTTTAAAGAATTTTTCTCACCTCGTAAATTTTCGGGTCAAGGAAATTATGCGTTTAAAAATGCAATGTCTGAAACTAGTTTAATATTTCTATCAATTCTTTGTCTATTTCTTCACTCTCCGCTGTTTCTGATTTTTTTTAAGCCTGTTGAAATTTAAAGTGCGTTTTGCAACTATCATTATATTATTTTGCTAAGACTTTTTAAAAATTAAATTTGATTCATAGAAATAAAAGAAAAATTTACTTAAACATATGTTTAACAAATATTAATGAAAATTTTTTCAAAAACTTTAATGAACTATTGCTAGTGTGGTAAAGTTTACAGTAAATATCTCTATCAAATGCAGCAGTTCACCTTCTTGATTAAATTTTTCTCAAAATAAAAGGATTAATTGTTACTTTTAGAGCAGCGATTCCCAATCTTTTTCAGCTATGGAACCTTAAGTGATCTAGCTACTTTTAGCGGAACCCCCACTTTATGAATAAGTTTCATTAACAGCTATGAATATGCCAACTGGAGAAACACTGCTAATTATCTTGAAAAATATTTAATGTTAAATTTTGAGCCGCAGTGGCTCAAAGGATAGAGCGTTCGTCTCCCAGTGAGGTGAACCAAGTTCGGATACCACTGGTCCCTGGGTTGATTCGAATTCTGACACTCATAAGATGTTTAATTGAAATTAAACCATTCCAGTTGAACCATAGCAAGATTAAGAATTACGATAATAGGATTTAATTTAGAACCATATCAAGATTTCAGCAAATTTGAGCGACGTATTAGTTCAACACGTTTCGATATTTCTGACTGTGCGCGAAGTTTGTTTTAGGATTAACTTTTAGAAAATTGAATAATTTTAAAAAAAAGTATAAGTATCACACTTTTTGTTTTGAAAGTGTAGTTATTCCTAATCATTAAAACGAACAATTTGCGCTTAGATTAGATGGAATAATTTTTATATATTTAATTCAGCTTATGATTATAATTACATTTATTTACACCATTGCTAAATAATTTATTTTTTATTTCCATTTTAAAGGTGAATATTACAGGACTCATAATAATTTACGCAACACATGTGTCACAAAAGAATGCATCAATACAGGTACGTAAATTTATTTTGTAGTAAAAATATTTTCAAACAGATAGCCTTTCTTTGATCTGTTATAAGCGAATATATATTTAAGCTATGTATATATGTTTCGGGTAATTTTCTTTTCATCTATTCGAACTGCGTATCTTCTCTCAATTAAAACTCACCAAGTTCTGTTGATCGTAATAGAACAGTGTAAAAAAGGGTTTCCAAAAATTGTGTAAAAATGTGGCAAAATAGCTTCGAAACAAATATAGCTGAATTTGAAATCCCCGTGCATTCAAAATTAAAACAACGTTTACTCTTTTTTGAGCAAAATGCATAGTCTCAAAAGTGAAATTGAAGGAGAAATGTGCGAGTTCGTTGGCTCGTAGTAGGATGCTTCTAATCATCGTAATTGCATACCAATCCCGGGTATGTTAAAAAGTTTTATACGCGTCAGTAACACATCAATTCAACCTAATTTCTAATTTCAATGGTACAAAGGGTTGCAATTCGGAAAATATAGTCTTAATATTATTAAAACTATATTTTACTTAATAGCTGAAATTTTAATTTCACTTTTCTCATATCTTAAAAACTTTCAAGCGAATGAAAGACATGTCATGATGTGTCATTTATTTGACCACTATATAAAGCTTCATAATTCTCCCTGAACAAGGATGTATAGTGGTTAGAGCATCCTACTACGAGTCCGGAAGTCCTTGGTTCAAATTCTGCTGGCAGACAATGAGCACACATTTCTCCCACTACATCAGGTCCCACAGTGGACTGATCGTTAAAACGCGGTTCCCAACAGAACACAGAAGTCAAGGATCACTGGCTGCGGTCAGTGTGCTGATGGGTGACCACTTGGATCAGTCTTCTTAGGGACCAAGGGTGTGCGGCATTGGTCCTCGTTAAACTGCTCTACCGTAAAGTGCTTGACTTCGCGTCCAGGTCGTCAGGATACCGAAGCAGGGGTGCCATTCCCTCTGCAGAGGATCAAAATTGTGATGGCATGTCTTCGGATCATTCTCAGGGAAGTTTCCCAGACCGTCGCGAATAGCCCATTGTGCAGCTCTAGTGTGACGTAAATGAACGACTACTACTACATCAGTGTTGAGGATATTAATTTTGCTGAAAAATTGGCATATGCTGTTTTAATTTTAAAAACAGGGGTTTTCAAACTTGACTATTATTTATTTTGGAGCCATTTTAACATATTTTAGCTCAATTTTGAGAATATTTAATACTGTAGCGTATCTACCACTACAAAATTACAACTACAATTCACTAGTATATAACACATGTTAACTCGAATGTATGACGGGGTACCTTTTCATAGATGACGCTTGACATGGTCTGTATCTACTCTCTCCACATTTTTGACCTTCGGACGTGATGTGAACACGCCTACCTTGAAAGTAACGCCCACTACGATCTGAACACGCCTACTTCGATGGATTATCCACATTGAACAGTTGACTTGTTACTTGTGACTTCGACGTTATCCAACTCCTCGCGCTGTTGCTACTCAGTCTCGATTAAACACAACGTCGGCCGACACTCACTCGACTGCTAAAGGCAACATATGGGCGATCGTGAACTTAATACAGCTCTCACAATCAGCAGTCAAACGAACGGTGATCTTAATACAGCTCTCCTGGGTTCTCACAAAACAGCAATGAATCAACTAGTGGTATTCGTTCATCGAATTCTATCACAGTTATAATTCTAGTGGGGGAGTACTGTAGCGTATCTAACACTGCAAAATTACAACTACAATTCACTAGTATATAAGATATGTTAACTCGACTCTATGTCGGGGTACCTTTTCATAGATGACGCTTGACATGGTCTGTAGTTACTATCCTCACAATACTATAAAATATTTATAATACTTTATAAAGTAAACTTTAATTTAAATAAACTTTAAATAATACTTTATGAAAACTTTATAAAATATTTATTATACTTTAAAATGCTGTGAAGTTTATTAGAAAGTAGCTAAAAAATATATCTCCGTCAGAGATTTTTGTTTCACTTAAAAAAAAGTTATAAAATTTAAAATATATGAAAAGTTTTGAAACGCATTGCAAAATATCGAAAAAGTACTGTCAAAATGAGATCAAATGTCAAGATTAGATCTAAAAAAAAGTCTTTTAACAATTACATTTACTATATTATATTCTGAATACAAATTAGTTAAAATTAAACAAATTTAAAAAAATTTTCTGAACATTTCAAAAGACTGCCTTGAAATATGACCTATACATGCTACATTATCCACGAAACGTGTTACTGTTAAAAAAATTTTTTTTTTTAAAAAAAAAGAGTACTTGAAGGTAATTTCATTCAAATTTATGTCGAAAATTTTTTTCTTTGAGTTCATACAGTGCATTTTCGCCGGGTATATTTTTTTTGGAGAGATAACGATCAGTTTATTTCAAGCGAATGCATTTTATTTAGTAAAATATTCCTCGTCAGCCTATGTTCCTGGTTAAATAGGGGGATAGTGGGTAAATCGATGAGAATCACGTGTTGGTTCCGTGTATCACCTGTACATAACCTTGGTATCAACCATATCAAGCCTTGGTATCAAGCAAAATATATTTCATTTTGATCCCGTAAAGAAAAAAAAATTTATTGGAAGTTTTTCTTTCCTGATTCTCTCTCTGTTTTTTTTTCCCTGTATTAACATACATAAAAAAATACTAATTCCTTGTGTACTTTAGATTAATATACGAAAACACAACATACTTATTCTTTACTATTAATTTCTCTTTTAATGTGCTTTTTAAATTTGCTTACAAAATGGCTTTTAAGGAATGCTCGACCCATCATATCGAATCAAGGATTTTTCTATATATACTTTTGTTACAGAAGAAATGAAAATAAAAAAGAAAGCTTTTCAAAATATTAAGAAATAGATCAAGAAACATATTAAATGTCGAATTATAGCATTGATTTAGTAAACAACAGAATAGTTCAGTTTATTGATTCAAACTAAATTTATTTAACAATTTCAATTCAGGTTTGTTGTATTTAATCATTAAAAAAATATTTTATGTTTCTTTAGGTACAAATATAGATTGTAACATTCCTTTAGACATATAATTAGTGCTGTATAGGTTTCAATATCTCTCTAATTTTCCTTTGGTCAAAGTGGTTTAAGCTGGGAGATTTGATCCTGCTTGTTGATTATTAAAAATTCTTTAGTAAAAAGAATAAACTAAAATATAGAATAAAGTATAGTTTATGATTTAAGTAAACAAAAGTAATGTAAGCAAGTATTATCAGCAAGTATTATAAGCTATCAAATAATGTTAACTTGTTTTATTGTGTTCAAAAATCGAAAATATTTTATTAAAAATGAATCAATAAGCCATTCATGTTTTCCCTTGCTATTCATGACTTAAATTGAATTTAGAATATATGCTTGCATGGAGTACATTTTGTAGGCGTTGTTAAAAATATTGTTATTTTTTAAAAAAAATGATCTAAACTAAATATATCTATACATACACTTAATTGATATAAGAAATACTTTCAATTCAAATGAGTTCCCAACTAGTAAATAGAGTGAAACAAAAGTCTCAAAAGTAAAATATTTTCTACGATAAATTTCACTTTCTTATTTTTTAGCTTCCAATCTGCTGAAATTTATAGATTTTGAACAAAATCCATGAGAAGATCTTTCACTTCTTTATAAAAACTAGATTAGAAACTCGTCCTTAATTGGAACATTATTAAAATAGAAAGTGTTATAAGCCATTAAAATAATGTTAACTTGTTCTATTATATTAGAAATTTTTTTTAAATATTTTGTACGAGTCGAACCATCAAAATTTCTCTACTATTCATAATCTAAATCAAACTAATTATATACGTTTTGCATGAGGTACATTTCTGTAGCGTTGCTAAAAATGCTGTTGTGTTTGAAAAATGATAAACTATTTATTATAGAATAAAAACATCTATGCTTATACTTAGCACACAGATGAAAAACTTTTTTTTTTTAATGAATTTCCAACTAGCAGCAAATGGAGTGAAACAAAAGTGCTAAAAGTTCCGAAAGCAAAACATTTTCTACTATATATTTTACTTTTTTTTTAGCTCCTAATCTGCTGAAATTTATAGATTTTAACCAAAATCCACGTGAAGATCTTTATTCACTCCTTTATAAAAAATTTGTTAAAAACTCGTTCTTAATTGGAACAGTATAAAAATAGCAAGCGTTATAAGCAATCAAATAAAGTTGACTTGTTATATTAGATATTAGAGAAAAAAAATTTCAAATATTTTGTACAAGTCGAAACATCAAAGTTTCTCTACTATTCATAATATAAATCAAAATAATTATATACGCTTGCACGAGGTACGTTTCTGTAGCGTTGCTAAAACATTTTGTTATTTTTTGAAAAATGATAAACCATTTATCTATATATATAAAAATCTCTTGTCACAGTTTTAGTGGTTAAACTCCTCCTAAACGGCTTGACCGATTTTGATGAAATTTTATATGTATATTCAGTAGGTCTGAGAATAGGTTTATAACTAATTTTTTTTCATTTTTTGGACAGATTTAACGTATATTTTAAATATATCTTNAAAATAATGCAAGCAAGTATTATAAGCTATTAAATAATGTTAACTTGTTTTATTGTGTTAAAAAAATAGGAAATATTTTATAAAAAATGAATCAAATTATTCATGTTTTCCCTGCTATTCATGACTTAAATCGAATTTAGAATGTATGCTTGCATGGGGTACATTTTGAAAGCGTTGCTAAAAATGCAGTAATTTTTTTTTTAAAAAAAATGAGCTAAACTAAATATATCTATATATACACTTAATTTATATGAGAAATACTTTCAATTCAAATGAGTTCTCAACTAGTAAATAGAGTGAAACAAGAGTTTCAAAAGTAAAATATTTTCTACGATACATTTCACTTTCTTATTTTTTAGCTTCCAATCTGCTGGAATTTATAGATTTTGAACAAAATCCATGAGAAGATCTTTAGTCACTTCCTTATAAAAACTGGATTGAAAACTCGTCCTTAATTGGAACAGTATAAGCTATAAAAATAGCAAGCGTTATAAGCCATTAAAATAATGTTAACTTGTTCTCTTATATTAGAAATTTTTTTTAAAAATATTTTGCATGAGTCGAACCATCCAAGTTTCCTTACTATTCATGATCCAAATTAAACTAATTATATACGCTTGCATGAGGTACATTTCGGTAGCGTTGTTAAAAATGCTGTTATTTTTGAAAAATGATAAACTATTTATTATAGAATAAAAACATCTATGCTTATACTTGGCACACACATAAAATACTTATTTTTTTCTTTAATGAATTTCCAACTAGCAACAAATGGAGTGAAACAAAGTTCCAAAAGCAAAACATTTTCTACTATAAATTTAACTTTTTTTTAGCTTCTAATCTGCTGAAATTTATAGATTTTAACCAAAATCCACGTGAAAATCTTTTTTTTTTTTTTTAAATATTTTGTACAAGTCGAAGCATCAAAGTTTCTCTACTATTCATAATATAAATGAAGCTAATTATGTACGCTTGCACGAGGTACATTTCTGTAGCATCGCTAAAAAAAAATTTTTTTTGTTGAAAAATGGTAAACCATTTATCTATACATAATAATAAATGCGGCTGTGTGTGTGTCTGTTTGTCTGTCTGTCTGTAATCACAATATATCGGCCCAGAAGCCTCGCCCAGGCACGAAACTCGGCACATAATTGTGTTTTGACGTAATGAAGAAGTATTTTTTTTCTTTTTCAAAAATTTGGATTAGTTTTTTAGTTATCAGTCATTTTGTAAGAAACTCTATGCTTTTTCGTCTTCAAAGAGCCATAAAAAATGCATATACTTTTCTCCACTCTTATAAATGTATGCTAATGCGAACCTTACAATTGAAATATTAATTTTCGACAACTTAAACCAATAATATACGAAGGAATTAATAATTATTTGTAAGGTTCGCATTAGTTTACATTTATCAAAGTGGAGAAAAATTTAATTTTTGTATTATAAATGTGGCAACATATTCGATACGTAAATAGAACGCTTCTCTTTGATATATTTTTATAAACGCAGTGCTATAAGCGAAAGCAGAGAGCACGCCGCACTTTACTATACTCAATACGCAATATTTGTCGCTGTTCATAATTGTTATAATAAGTTTTTCTTCTTCTTTCCACGCTCTATTTTTTTTTCTTAAGCGAAGACGATAATTTTTGTAGCGATATAGAAATAGAAATTGATACCATAAAAAATTATATAGAAATAGAAATTGATACCATAAAAAATTAATTCGTTTTCGTGTTCTTTTCATGTATTTAGCATTTTAGTTTTTTTTTCTTAAGCGTTGTAGCTATATAATATATAAAATAGGAATTTAATTGTTTTTGAAGGAACGATCACACTTACCTTGGATCTCTTTGGTTTTTCTATTCTTTATTTTAACAGTTTTTATTAAATGTAATTAGTTATTTTCAGAAAGTTTCAGTTTGCAGGTAAGCACTTAGATTTTAATATTGAAGTTTCATGATTTGCTTTCATAGTAATTGTTGTTCTAAAGTATTCGTTGACTTCTTTAAAACCCGATTACTGACATGGCAGAACCGCCTTCCAAAAAACTTCGTATTTTGTCAAAGAAAAAGATATTAAGAGATTCTCAAAGAAGAAGAAGGGCCCAAGAAACGTCTGTGGAACGTCAAAGAAGGATGGAACATGTCCGAATTTCGACAAGCAATTCTAGAGCCCAAGAAGTATCAGAGAAACGTCAAAGAAGACTAGAAGAGGATCGTGTCTCAATTAGCAGTGCTAGGGTCCGAGAAACACCTGAGGAACGTCAAAGAAGATTGGAAGAGGATCGTGTCTCAACTAGCAGTGTTAGGGCCCGAGAAACACTTGAGGAACATCAAAGAAGATTGGAAGAGGATCGTGTCTCAACTAGCAGTGTTAGGGCCCGAGAAACACCTGAGGAACGTCAAAGAAGATTAGAAGGGGTTCGGGTCTCAACTAGCAGTGCTAGGGCCTGAGGAACACCTGAGGAACGTCAAAGAAGATTGGAAGAGGATCGTGTCTCTACTAGCAGTGCTAGGGCCTAAGAAACATAGCGTGGCGGACAGCTGGCCGCCTTAGGCGGCTAGTTATATAATAAAAACATCTATGCTTACACTTAACACATAGGTTAAATACTTATTTATTTAATGATGAATTTCCAACTAGAAAATAGAGTAAAACATTTTCTACTTTTAATTTTTGAAATTTTTTTTAGCTTCCAATCTGTTGAAATCAATTGATTTCGAACAAAATCCATGTGAAGATTTTTATTCATTTGTTTGTGGAAACTGGATTAAAAACTCGTTTTTAATTGGAGAAATGGTAGTTTCACAATTCTCGCGCCTCAACTCTATCATCATTTTACGAATTAAAGGTAAGCAATAATTTAGTCTGTTGCAAGTACTTTTATTTAAAGTTAATAATTATTTAATGGTCATTTTACCTTAAAACTAACTACTTTCTTGATTTTTTTTTCCTTTTTAGAATTTTTAGAATTAGAAAAATCTAAACTGTCCGATCATGAAAAGAAAATTAAAAAATTTTATAATTCTTGCTTGAAAAGAGGTAAGTTTACAGCAATTTTTTAAAGAGTCATTATTACTAAGCACAGTAAATTAAATTTCGCAACTTTCAATTAGCAAACTTAACGCGTAACTGTTCTTAAAGGTTCTTTTCAGACAAAAAATTGAATACATTTCTATGTTCACTTAAAGAAAATTATGTGAAAGCATTTTCTTTATTTATTGAATAAATAATTAATATTAACTGAATAAATAATAATATTTTTTGTTTCATTTCATTCATTGATAGTATTCTATTGGTCTTAGTTATCCAAAATTTAAATTTTAAATATTTAAGTAATTTTAAAAGTCTTAAATTATCACAATAGCTTTGAAAGGGTTTTTAAAATACGTACAACCTTAAAATTTAAAATCTACTAACTAACTTATTAAACAGGTGTCAATGAATAAAACGATATAAAAAAATTTTAAATAGTTACTGAATAAGTAAGATAACTATGTTCAAATAATTTTCCGTTTGGTTAAAAGGGAAGAATATTATAACCAAACAGAAATACTATTAACCAAACGGAAACGGGAATCAAATTCATGACGAGAGCAATAGAAAAATATTATGAATGTCGCACTAATTCATTGTTATACGAGAAATGTTAAAAACATAAAACGTATTTTCTAATCGGATACCTGCAAATGACGTCATTGTAGGTTAAACAATCAGGAGTCAATCTTGTCCAATTAGAAGCCAATCAGTTTTGACATACACGCGTGACGTCACTTACAGGTATCCTATTAAATTTGATTTAAATCACATGGTTACGCATAATCACCTCATTTTTCCTTGCGTTGCAAGTACCCAATTGTTTGTTAATTAATTCAGTGATGATTCTTGATTTCTTTGTAGAAACCAGAGACGAGGTTGCAAATAAGATTCTGCTTGAAGATTTAAAATACTTTGGTGGTTGGCCGTTGATTGAAAAGAGTTGGAATGCTTCAAAGTTTGACTGGGCTGAGTTGATGGTGAAGCTTTACGAGAAAGGATATCCACACGATATGCTGTTTTCGATGGGAGTTGACATGGACATAAAAAATACCTCTCAGTCACTGCTTGTTGTAAGTGCTGCTTAAAATTCGCAATAGTTCATCGAACAAATTAGTAAATGCATTTATTATCTTGTCTGCTTATAACGAGCTGACAGGATAAATGTAAGCATGGAAAATTCAAGGTAAATATAAACAAGAAAAAAACTGGGATATATATAATGCAGAATTATAATGATTTTGAATTCTGTAACACCACCACCAAACTTTCAAGTAAACATGAAAACATTACTACCTGTAGCTAATTTACCAATCTTCATCTTGACTATATTTGATCTAAACAGAGAGCTATAAACGTCTAATAAAATTTTCGATATCGAGCTGCCTTCTGAGATTTTAATCTATTGTATGCACAAGGAATTTACGATGCCAAAGCCGTGTGAGGTTCAGAACAAAACCTTATCTCCAGAATTGACTATACTGGAAAATCTATGGAATTCAAGTCTGGTGAATAAGGTGATCATTTCTGTGCTAGAAGAAAATTAGGAACATGTGCCTTGGATCATTTCTCTTAGAATGAAGCATAACTTCGTTGGAAAATCCATTTTTAGTTTCCAAATATCTATGTAAATGCAGGGAGACTAACATCTTCCCATATGATTTGGCGATATGCTTCGATAAGAATATTCAGTTTAAACCTTTATTTAAGAAATTCTTGTTTCTCTGTAAAAAATATCATGTTCTTGAAGAACATTATGCGGTACCAGTAAGTTAAACATTGAAAAAAAATTTTTACCAGACGGTCGATAAATCTGATGTCAATTTCAGATTTCAAGATTTGCACTATAAAATTAAATAATAATATGAAGGAAAAAAAATCAGAAGGTAACTGAGATGTTTTAACGTAGTTCTAGGTCTCACAATCTTTATAGAAACATTCAGTGCTTTATGAAAATAACAATTTTATCATGATATTGCCATGTAAATTGATCAATGATCAAATTTTCTTATGATTATCTTTTAGAACAGATAGCGGAAAAGTATCAATCTTGAAATTGAAAATTGGTATAAAAGTTACATAAGTTAGAATTGTTATTCTAAATTTTAACTAATCTTGATAATATAAATTGACTAAATAAGCTTAAGGAGTATTTTTACTCGTATTATGATTCTTTTACGTAAACCAACGTAACAAATCTTATATATTTCATCTTTCTGTTAAATTTTTCTACAGAGAGTTAAGTAATTGAATTTATTCACATTTTTTAGTTTATTGACTACATACATTATGCAATAAAGATCTAAGTAATATCTTAAGTATTTTTTTAAACTAAACTCTAATTACACCATTTATAATGTTTTCTCCTTTTTTTTTAAAATCATTATGTTTATTTTTATGGTAGATAAAAGAATCGAATTGCACTACAAATTAGATAAATATGGATCTGAAAACCTGTGTTTTATCCAACAAAGATGAAATATATTAAGAAATTTTGAAGTAAAATAATTAGTAACTATGGAACTATTAATAAAAAGTAACATATGGAAGAAAATAAATAAAAAGAGAAACATAATAAGATTTATGAAAGCTAAAAGAATAAAGTGGATGTCGAAAGAAAATCACGACTTGAAAATATATAGCAATAGGAAAAAAGGAAGGCTAAAGCTAAGATGGTTGGATCAAGCTGAGGATAACCTGAAGAAAATAAAAAAAAAAAACTGAAAAAAGAATCTAGAGAGAGAGATATATATATAGTGACGCAAAACACTATTGTAGAGAAAGCCGAAGCCTACCAAGAGCTGTAGAGCTGGAAAGGAAGAAAGCAAGTACAAAAGGGAAAACCATTAAACAATCAAAATATTTAAGGGAGGTAATAAATTGGTTTAATTAAAATTTGGCTTAACAGGACAAATTAAATTAACATACATTATAATCTATTGTAAATTCATTTTTCGCTAAAATATAAGGTGTTATTCACCTGCTTTTTGCCAACATATTTATTCAATAAAAGGTTTAAAATAAATCTAAAGATTTAGATGAATATTTTTTTTTATCATATAACCTCTTTTTTATCTTTAGTTGTTGTTATTGTTTTTTTAGGTCAGTCAACCTTCTTTAGGCTTGGAAGAACGGGGTTACTATTTGTTAGGAAAAGAGATCATTATGACTAAATATATAAAACTGATTTTACATCTAGCATATTATTTTAACCCAACATTGAATTTAAAGAAAGGGGCTATTATGGTTGATTATGCTGTCACTTTAGAGAAATTTATCGCCAAAGTATGTATATATAATCAATTGTTATCATTTATTATTTGTATTGTATATATAGAGTCATTGTAATTGCAATTAATATAGCAGTGTTTAAAGCAACACTTAACCTCAGCAGTATTTAAAGCAAGTGTTGATAGCTAGGAAACAGCTATTTCAAATTTAACCTAGTTTGCAGAAGATACTATTTAGACTTAGGACCACGGAAGCTGATTATTGAAATAAAAAAAATTAGTTTTCTCTACCAAGATCTATTTTTGGGGTAAAATAGACAAATCAAGTAAAGAAAATTAACATTTCAAGAGATTTGTTGCATAATATTTTGCCTTGGTGAATATTTGTCCGTTGGAAACTTTTTCCACATTTATAAAGAATAACTCCAACCTTTTTTTTTTTTTTTAATTGAAGGAGGTAATCAAAATTGACATTAAAAAAAGAAAAATGGTTAAATTTTTTTACTGAAAATGCAAAATTTATAATCAATACAAAGTTGCATTTGATATTATTTTTATATTCTCGTAATATTTCTCTGCTAAAAGAANTTGTTATTGTTTTTTTAGGTCAGTCAACCTTCTTTAGGCTTGGAAGAACGGGGTTACTATTTGTTAGGAAAAGAGATCATTATGACTAAATATATAAAACTGATTTTACATCTAGCATATTATTTTAACCCAACATTGAATTTAAAGAAAGGGGCTATTATGGTTGATTATGCTGTCACTTTAGAGAAATTTATCGCCAAAGTATGTATATATAATCAATTGTTATCATTTATTATTTGTATTGTATATATAGAGTCATTGTAATTGCAATTAATATAGCAGTGTTTAAAGCAACTCTTAACAACAGCAGTGTTTAAAGCAAGTGTTGATAGCGAGGAAACAGCCATTTCAAGTTTAACCTAGTTAGCAGAAGATACTATTTAGACTTAGGACCACGAAAGCTGATTATTGAAATAAAAAAAAATTGGTTTTCTCTACCAAGATCTATTTTTGGGGTAAAATGGACACATCAAGTAAAGAAAATTAACATTTCAAGCGATTTTTGATGTTGCATAATATTTTGCCTTGGTGAATCTTGTCTATTTGAAACTTTTTCCACATTTATAAAGAATACCTCCAACCTTTTTTCTTTTTTTTAATTGAAGGAGGTAATCAAAATTGACATTAAAAAAAGAAAAATGGTTAAATTTTTTCACTGAAAATGCAAAATTTATAATCAATACAAAGTTGAATTTGATATTATTTTTATATTCTCGTAATATTTCTCTGTTAAAAAAAATAAAATTCTATAAGAAATCACTCTAGAAGATAATGAATTTACTTTGATGCGTGTGAAATTTAACGTAGAAAATATGAATTTGTTTGTTTTCTTTTTGTGTGAGTGCACAATTTTACAAATGAAATGTTTAAAGCTTTTACACATCCCTGATTGCACATTGTATGAACAAAACATACAAACAAATTTAACAAATGTAAATAAACAAATGTAAAATAAATTATGAATTCTGAAAATAACTTTTCTCCTTTTTATTAGTCTATAGTACCCAATATTCACGAAAAAAATCCAGATGAATTTTATAATATAATGAGTTTGAATGAAATTGAAGAATTCTCTCCAAAGGTAAGAAAAAATTTTTTTTCTTTATAAAACCATATCTTTTTCTTTTTGCACTGTCAAAAATCGTTAAAATATAATACTTTATGGCAATTTTTAATGATGAAATTTCTTTCTTTCAGTTAATTATTTTGTTTGGTTAATTAATTATTTTTTCGGTACCAAATAATTAACAAACTTTGTTTCACCTGATAAAGGATCATTGGAAGTTTTTTTTCGCAAATGTTCAATAAGAGAACATTTGGTGATACAGCAGACTTTAAGTCTGAAATCCACTTTTTGCCATACTGATTGCAGCATGTCACACTACCAATGGTAACAAATGTGGTTGGAATTCTTCGTCGTAATTCGGTTAAAAAACGAGGTATAGAGGAATGAACACATAATCTTTGATGTAACTCCATAAAAAAAATTTTTTTTAAAAATCAGAGGGAGTTAAGTCTGGATAGCGCGGTGTCCGTGGAAGAAATTGATTGTCATCTCCCGACCCGCGTCCAATCCAACGAAAAGGAAGCTCGTTATTTACAAAACCATGAGCGCTAGTCTGATAATGAGGGGTCGGAGGATTCCATCTCGTTGGGAAATGTAAGACTCACAATCTTCTCGTAATTTTTCCCACAGTTGCAGTATATCGACTGAAGAACACAACCTTATTCGCTATAATTGATCGTAACATATTGAAGCTAGCTGCTCAAGAAGTTGATTCTAGACTTGTAGTCTGCCGTATCACCAATGGTTCACACATTGAACGTTTGTGAAAAGAAATAGTGATGTTTCATTATCAGGTAAAATAAAATGATGTATTGGCGATATTAGTTTGATATAAGCCTTCCAAAACTCGGAGTGAATCGTAACACACATTGTGTACATTTTGCTATTTATTGTTATATAATGATTGTTAGAAGCTGTTAGAATTGTTAGAACATTCGCATCCATTTGATCACGATGTCTTGTTAATGACTCCGTTTTTCTTTTAATTAATTGTTGAAGATTGGATTTGGTGACCGTATACATCATAAAAATTAAAGTTTAGAAAGTTAAATTTAATTTCTAAATCTGATCTCAAAATCTGACGATTCTTGTTATTTATACTAATTATTAATAAGCTTGCTCTCCAAAGTTTTGGCGCAAACATTTTTGTTTCTTCGGATACTTAACGTAAATGAAGGAAGTCTTAATGATATTGATTTAAGTTTCATCAAATGTTGACATTTTTATTCGGCTCAATTTGCAGAAATAATTGACACAACAGCTTTGCAACAGTACAATACGCAATACGACTGGGAAACCCGTTGAATAAATGTACTGGGATGCGTACATCAATATTGGGGCCGTAGGTGCAAGACGTTGCCCCTCCTTATCATCCACGACATTCAGTTAAAAAAAAAAACTTTTTCATTTAACGCCTCATTCATCAGCGTTATAGAAAGCGTGGGTACCATCAGTGAAAGGTGACTATTACGGTTATCGTTGAATACTGTGGCTCCTATGGTAGAAGAGATTCAACGATGTATGGTGTCGGTGTGCTGGAATGAAACACCATCAAGGCCACTGGATGGGGTTGACCAAGTTTAAAGACGAAGTGAAGACAGTGACGAAAGTGTCAGCACAGGTAGATAGATCACTTAGCATGCAGAAACAAGTGTGGCAGCCAAGACAGTTGGATCGCTGCAATCCTGTCTATAACATTCAATAGACATATAACATTAGAATTCATACAGGAAAGACAGAACACGGCATTTCATAATCCACACATTCAACCATGAAGTTTAATCATCTGCGAAACTTTATGTTATTGTCTGTGGATTGGTGTCCCAACACCTACAGGATGTGAAGTTCCCCAAGATACCATCAAAGTGTAAAGACTATGCTAGTTGGCCCAATTCGGCAATAAAGGGAAGACCTTGACCTAAGGTGTCATCGCAAGACGACCAGGAACATCACGCCAAAGCGGCTGCCATGTCGATTTGATCATTGTCACCAAGTTCTTCACATTCAACAAGAGACAATAAGAGCAGCAGCACAATACCCGTATACATGCGATATTTTAGAAATAACTTGTACAGGGATTTATATCTAACTAATGTAATGCCATTTTTTGTCAGTAATTTTTATTTTTTCCCTGCATAGCATTTGTGTATTCCGTCCGATTTAAATAATTGTATGCAATTCATCACTTTTTATATAGATACCGTGGAGAAAACTGCTGACAAAACTATTACCATCAAATGAAACTATTAATAACCAAACCAGACTGATGGTGGTTAGTCCATCTAACCTGATGAATCTCAACGCACTCTTAGAGGAATTGGACAATCCAGCTGGGTATAAATTACAAAACATATATTTTATATCTTTATTACAATAAATGTCAATAAAAGTACTATATATAATTAAATTAATATTAATTATATACGCTTAAATTCTTGGAATTCACAATTTTACTATTTATAGAAAGGAGTTTTTAGCAAATTATATGATGTACAGAACTGTCCTCTTCGCATCTGAACATTTGGGGAAAGACGTGTTTACAATTGTTGAAGATTACTTGCGTCATTCCGCGCATAGAGACTTATGGCAGGTGTGTGTCGCATCTGTGGTTGATTTCTTTCATATGTCACTGACAGCTACTTATGCAGAAAGTTATATGGATAACAAGACAAAGATTCTTGTAAGTTGAAAAATCTAATATCTTAGTTGTGCGTCATATTATTTTATTTTATCACCGTCAATCGAATACAATAAAAACCACCTATCGACATGAATGTATTTGAGGCAATCACTTTATTCTATATCTTTGCAGTTTTGAGCACAAATCAGAAGATAATAGAACTTTTGAGTCAACTAGCGTGATAACGTAGCGGAGGATTTTATTGCGTGTTTACATTACTATAAGTTTTGGAACGTGTGAAATCATAACATCTTTCAAATTCCAAAAAAAATATGCATGCTTTTGCCAATTATTTTAAAATATATATTACGAAAATGTTTGCCCTGTATTTATTCTATTAAGCAAATTATTACTTAAAAAGAAATTAAAATAATACACAAAATGAAATTTTGCTAATTGCTATCACAAAATATATGTACTAAGTAAAGCTTTATTTAAGATTATTTAACATCTTCAAAAAATTCATAATGGTGGTGAGCAAAAATTCATAATACTAGACGAAAGAAATTCCTTTTTCGACATTGTCTTTTTTTCCCGATAGTTCGGGATGGTTCCTGGCATTCTCCTGAAATTTTTTCTAGACTAGTCATCTACCTACATGTATTTTCCAGTTTTTTTTCCGCAGTATACCAGTAGATTTTTTTCTAAACTATTTAACCATCTCAAATTAGATGCGCATTTTCTTCGAGTCCCTGTTAGTATGACATTGAAGATTTTTTTTTTTCGTCGTAAGATTTTTATGCATCCTGATCAGTCCATTTTATTCATTATAGTTTAGTGAAATTAATAATATCTGGTTCCTTTTATCAGAGGTAAGCTCTAAATTGCATCCTCTTAATCATTTTTTTTGTATACCACTAAATGTGCAGTATGCGAAAAATAAAATAAAAAATGGATAGTTTTTAATATGTTTTGATCCAATTATCGGATCTTAATGTTCTAGGACTCAATCTTAATGATTCGAGGGGATGATCTCAAATATGAGAGTTAATTATTGCAGCCGCTATTTTAAGTTACGAAAACGTACTTTCTCCAAACATATCCTTTTTTCCGCGACGGATTTGAATTTCTGACCCTCCAAAATATAGGAGTAGCCGCAATCTGGGAAATATGGTCCCAATAATTTAATCAGGAGAGTGCTCCAAAGGTCGGACCCCTTTAATTTTAATTTTACTTTTTGCGTATTTCGCCATATCTCGAGAACTTTTTAAGCGAATTGAAAACTTTTTGCACACAATTATAAAATTCGCTTATCTAAAGACAATTCGAAAAAGATTATTTAAAAATAGTCGAAAAAATTTTGAATTGTAGGATATAAAATTTTTACATCAATTAAAGTAATGTAATTTTACATAACAAAATATAAAATTTGGGCAAAATTGGTCGAATAGTACCTGATAAATTAAAATCTAAAAATACAGCTTTTTCAAATTTCAATTAATCTGTTTTTTATTATTTATTTATTCTTTTTCTTTCGCACTGTACTTTTTATGATTTTTTTCTTATCCTCATCCGTTTAAGTTATATTCCAAGTCTCACAGGCATATATTAGAAATAAGTTTATAATTTACATCTTTACATTTTACAGCAGTATAATGCAGGAAATTTATACATTATTCTACTGTTCTTTATTTTACTGTCGAATAATGTATATATTTTCTACATTATTTCACTGTGAAAAAAGCAACTTAGTTTAACCATGTTTTCGAATTTTTCGTATCAGTATTTCCCGATGAGTAATTCTGTAATTATTTACAAAATTTAACTGCTCAAACTCACAAAGAAATAATTATTCTTCGTAGGGTTTTAGTATGAAGGAAACTTCGATTAAAACAAATTGCAATTAAAATCGTTTTTATCGTTGTAAATATTTTCAAAAGAAAAAAAAAAACAATATTGTGAAATACTAAAAAGTTTAAATCATCATCATAGTGTTTTCTTCTGTTTTAATGACTATGTGTACTAGCTAGATAAACTGTTTCGAGATATTCAAGAAGCACTGTTGAATGAGATAAGAGAAGCTGATTGGCTGGATGACATAACCAAGCAAAGAGCGATGCAAAAGGTATTCGAAATATTTTTTTTTCTTTCTCATTTTCGTCTCTAGACTCCTGATATCACATGATTGCTATAACTCTAAATTCAATTATGGAATTTTCGTGAAAAGTGAAAACATCTGTTAGGATTCTTGTTCAAAAAAGATTTACAATAGGAAAATGAACCAACACTTGTATTTCACATAAATATTTCACTTCTTCATGAAGATATCGGTTTCAAACTACACAGAGAAGCATTTTTTCCAGTTTCGCATTCCTCCTTTTAAATTTTTGATAAAACGAATGGTTTAAGAATGTTCACTTAATTCAACAAAAAACAATATTTGAGCTATTTTTTAAAACAACTTTTAATTTGAATGAAGACTAATTTTTCTTTTTAACTATTTAAAAAAAAAATTTTATTTTTATGATTCCTTCTTTAATACTTTATTGAGTACTTTTTAAATAATTTTCTTTATTTTTTATAATTTGCATACTTTAAAAGAATTTTGCTTGCAGTGAAAATTTTTCAATATCTCTAAAATGGACACATATCTCTCTCTCTTTTTTTTCAATTAAGTTTCATTGTATTAGATATATAGTTGTTTTGTAACAATGCCTTACATTTTTGAACCTTTCTGTTGTATTCTAACTATAGTTAGTTCTGTATTAGTGACAGTGTCAAGTAAGCTTTTCCTGCAAAAGAAAGTTAAAAAACAAAATCTTGGACTCATTTTTATTTCGTTTTTAAATTTCATATTTACAGTTAAATCAATAAATAATTCGTTGAGAGTTAAGAAAAAATTAAAGCTCGACAAGTTTCTGGGAAATTGAGAAAATCTCAATAGTTAATGAAAGCCATTATAACCCCAATTTAAGTTATGAAATTAAATATCTGCTTCGTAATAATAAATAAATTTAAAATGTATAACTCAGAATACATTTAAATGAGTGTTTAAAATCTAAACACGTTGAACCATTTGAAATTATTTTAGGTCCTCAGTGCTCGTTCTGCAATCGCTTATCGTGACGAAATGTTGGACGAAACGTTGCTGAATGAGTTTTATAAACCTGTAAGTTTTAAAAAAATGTTAGTATATATTGATATAAAATTTGAAGAGATATTTTTTCGCCTCGTGTAAATAAAAATTTTTTTTACAGATAAATGTGAGTGAAAATCATTTTGGAAACGTCAAAGCAGCTTACTTGTTCTACGCTAAAGAGAATTACAGAGGTCTTAGCGACGAACGAGTTAGATTTAAGTAAACTTTAATTTATTAAAAAAATATATTAGTTCATTAGAAATAGTTCATTAGTTAATTAGAATTGACATTACTTTTACAACGTCATAACTATTAGTAATAATGAACAAATAGTAATACTATAACGTATTAGATTCAAGTAAGCTTTTGCTAATACACGCACTAATAGTTAATAAATCCGGCCATGTTGTTCTATGCTGGTGTTATCCATATTTCATTATTATTAAAAGTAACTAATGATCCTTAATAATAACGTTTCAGATTCAAGTAAGATATTGCACAACGCGTTATCTTGACGCATATATCTTGATAGTTAAAAAAATCCGCCGATTCTATGGTGGTATTTTTTGTTCATTATTATTAAAAGTAACCATAGCAATTAATAATAGCGTGTTAGATTCAAGTAAGTTTTGCTCCATAAAGAAGTAGTAGTTCATATATATATATATATATATATATTACGGGATAAAAATATACATATATTAAGGAATATATTACGAAACAATCTGTACATTAAGAGCGGTGTTTACAAAACACCCTCCATACTAAAAGTAATGTCGATAGATCACCCTGTATATTAGGAGAGTAGTATTTAGGGAACCTTCTGTATAGTTTTATTTCTAGCCTCTCGCTTGAACATTTGATGGATATAAGCGCAATAGGATGCTTAGATTTTTCAAAAATATAACGATCTACTTTGCATTCCTAAAATATGCGAATAATTAACATCGTGCTCAAGGTTAGAAAACTACATATGCATCAATTGTGTGATTACTTTCAAAAATGTTCTAATTATTACTTTGTACTGTTATATATCACCGTTAAAGCTCAAAAGCCTTTAACGTTCACATTACCTAACTAATCTATGACTTCAGTACACAAAGTTCTAAAGTACTTTAAGTTCAAAATTTGTTTTTCTCAATCTATCAATTAATTTGTGGATTGTTTTAACTTGATTCTTTAGAAATCAAAAAATACATTAATGACTTTATGCTAATGTCCTTAATGGTAATAATATTTTAACTTGTTTTATTCTTGGTATTGTATTATAGTTTTTAAAGAGATTGATTCTACCTGTTAATATGTTATTTGATTTTTTTATTTTCTACCTGGTGTTCGACGACCCAATTCTGAGTGTAGGATTATCAATGTTCTACTCCACAGCCTTGTAATTTTAAACCCAATGCAGAAGACAAGGGAACACCTAAATCAAGCGTTGGGGCAAACAAGCTTTTGTGGAGGACTTTCAGATGGCACTAACCTGCGTTTGCGTTACATGGGGAGAAAAAAACACGAAAAACTCTCACGGTTAGCCGGGCGGCAAAGGATTTCTAACCTATGATCTGTCTACTACTGAAAATATTTTAAGTCAGCACAGTGGTCGGTGCGAACCAAGAAAAAAATTCGTATCGACCAACTAACTTTAGGATTCGAACCTGGGTCACCTCATTGGGAATCGAACATTCTATCCCCTGAACCACCACAGCTCGTGATTGTTAGATTGTTGTGATTGTTAGATTGTTGTAATTTTTAGACGGCAAAAAACAAATAAATAACATTCTGCTAATTTAAGAGTACAAAAACGTTACTGTTGTACGGCAAAGATCTTATTCTTTACTTTAACGAGTACTTAGTAGGTTATGTGCTGATTATCTAAGTAGTTCACAAATTACCTAAATAGTTGAGAAAGAAAATAACTTTCGGTACTTTAACGTATCACGCCAGTTAATATGCTAGTTGATATCTTTGCTAGTTAAGAAATAAAGAACATTATGTCAATTTAAGCGTTTAGAAACGTTACTGTTACTCCGGCAAAGATCGTATTTCTACTTTAACGAGTGCTTAATAGATTATGTGTTAAGTAGTTTGCAGATTACCTAAGTAGTAGTGGAATGAAATAATTTTTGGTACTTTAAAGGATTACCCTAGTTAATATGCGAGTTAATATCTAGATAATCCTTAGAATAGCTAACTTCCACACTTAAGAGTTTCCATTATTTTATTATAATTTATTTTTAGATGGACCGACACCAGCAATCTTTTGCAAGCTAACGCATTTTATCAGCCATCTCAAAATTCTATTAGTGAGTATGAATTTTTATGTAACGCTTGTAAACTAATATAAAGTTTTTCCAACCTCATTATTAAAACTTTAATTCATAAAACATACTTATGAATAGGCGTTTAAAGTAGCTATTTTTAATCGTTACAGTTGTACCAATAGGATTGCTGTCAGATGCTTTTTTCTCAAAAGGAAGACCCCAGTAAGTATACCGTCTCAATACTGTTAAGTAATACTTTGGTTTTAAGTATAAATACTGAATTAAATTATAAGCTTGGATTTTGTGAAAAATAAATATTATATAAAGATTAAGGCAACTTAACTTGTATTTAGTGTTGCAGAAGTAGTGCTTTTTATTTAAACTTTTCATTTGAATTGTTACACAAAATATTAAAAATAACACCATATTTCATAAAATCTACTTCAGTTTTACTTATGGTAATATTTATTATTATTATTTATTTGTTTTCAGTTACGTGAACTACGGAAGTTTAGGCACAATTCTTGGGCATGAGTATACCCATGCGTTTGATAGCACAGGTAAAGTTCTTGATGCATATTTTTGTTTTAAATTTTCTCAAAAAAAAACATCAGATTACAATCTTACTACTATCTATAAACGTTTTTTTTGTTTTATGGTAATACCGTGATTGATAAACTAAGTTATGTTAAAGTTTTAGAGAAGGAAATCAAACATTACTGCAGTACAAACAGCCTCCGTTAATCAGTAAATTACATAATTTCAAAAAATTATATATGTTAAATTAAAACAAGGATAACTTTGCGATAAATAAAAATTTTACTAGCGAGATTTACCCTGGGACTGACAGTACTGACATGACAGTAGGGGAATCATGGAAGATTTTTTTTGTTTGAGGCATGATATTAAAGGGAAAAACTGTTTGTTTTTGTTCATCATCAATTGGAAAATAAGTTCAAGAAGAAAATACCATTGATGTCAATCTCATCCAGAAAAGTAATTTATTTAAAATTAATTATTTTTTTTATACAAGTTCTTTTCTTCTGTCATTTACATACACAGACAAAACGTTGAATTATTTGTGTACTTGGATAACGTTGTAAACCAATATAATTGTTGCTTGTTTTTCTTTTATTTTTGTGTTTTTTAACTTTTTTACAAAATGTTTATTTAGAGAAGTTTCACCCATTATACAAAAGTTATATCCATTTCTTAAATAGCATGTTCATTTTCTTAAATAAGTATTTTGAGCTGTGTTTATTTTCTTAAACAAGCATTTCGAGTTGCGTCCATTTTATTAAACAAGCATTTCGAGTTCCATCAGTTTTCTTAAACGAACATTTTGAGCTGTGTCCAAAATAAAAAGCTTGCCGACAATTTATTAAATGCACACAAATTTTATATGCACGATTAAAAGTAAGCTAACACTTATACACTTCGTGATATATATATGTTTAAGTATGTATATTATATATTCGTGTTATATATATGTTTAAACATGTATATTATGATATTTTTTATTGCAGGAAGCTTGTACGATGAGGAAGGAAACTATAAAATGTGGTGGACTAAACTGAGTTGGAAAAATTTCAAAGAAAGAACAAAGTGCTATGTTGAACAGTATAATCAGTATTACGAACCGAGTGTAAAAACCCATGTAAGAAAATGCAATTATTATTATTATTTATTCTTTTTTCTTGATACATATTAAAGAACAATTTAGTAGTTGTTTTTACCATTCCTAAAGGTTTTTTTTTGTCATTTTATTAGGTATAAGGTGTTAAGAGTTATCTTGCTGGAAATTTTCAATGGCAATTTTGCATAAATGTGGCTAAACTCTTTCAAGGCGTGGGGCTTGTTAGCGTTAACCTTAAACTTCTAAATAAATGAGGAAAAAAAGTCCGACAGTGTTAAATCGCTTGATCTGAGAGGAATATTGCTCAACAATGAAAACTTGTTGTTCTTTCATATATAGGGTTCCTTTTTTAATCATCTTGACGTCAGTTATCATGCCATCTTAATTCTTTTCCTTGGTAATATTTTATTGCATAAATGGCACAAAATTCAAATCTTGCATGAATTTTGGGAAATTTTTTACATTCTCAAATGTTTTTTTATCCAAGAATTTTATACAAAAGAATATAACTCTCGAAGATTAAATCTTTGAAAGAATGTTGTCAAAACTTTCAATTTCAGTATTGTAATTTTTTTCCAAATAATTTCCAGCTAAATTTCCCATTGATTCTGTATAGAAATGCAATTTATTTATTAAATTTTTATTGAAAAATGTGAACGATAGTAAAAAAAGTATCAAACCAAAGTAATTAACCTAAGTTACTTTCTTTTTGTATGAAAGTACGGCTTATATATGAGCAATATATTTTTGCCAGAAGCTGCCAAAAATTCAGTGGCTATTACGTTGAATTGTATTGTTGAATTCAAATGTATTTAAGAATTTTTCCATCACTTAAACAAATTCTTACTGTAGAAGGAAAAGAAAAACTTAAATGCCTGTCGAGTTATTTTTGTAAAAAGAACATAAATTTTTTCATGGATTAAAAAGAATGTGCTTAATATGATGTCTTTAATATGACATTTTTACAGCTCAATGGATCGCTGACTTTAGGTGAAAATATTGCCGACAATGGCGGTGTTCTAGCAGCTTACCATGTAAGTATTTCGAAACAAGGCATTTCCTAACTATTCCGGTTAATCAGCATACTATAATAAATTTAGTAAAAACAAGTAACTATCTATTCTTCCTTTAGGCTTATACCAAACTGCTTAAAACTTTAAAACGTGAAGAGAAACTGCCAGGTTTACAATTCACCGAAAAGCAGATGTTCTGGATATCCTATGCATCAGTAAGACAATTTTTTTAATAGTACTACATACATTGTAAAAAGAAGACTGATCTAGGGAGAGTTCATTTCAATAGATTCTCATGTACATGAAACTTTTCCCCTGCCATTCGTAAACTCGTTTCTATAGTTACTAATTAAACTAATAGACTAGTATCATGAATTGACTTTTAATCGTTATCTTGCGGTACATGGATGATAAATCTATAAGTTATACAGTAAATACTTGGTGTTACGAGTACAGCATATTACGACAAGTTTTCAAGTCACCGCCCAAATGCTAATGTTAGGAATACAAAAATTCTATGTTTAGAACGAGCTAAAATCTTCCCGCTATTGTGGTTTTTCCCCTTTTTTTATTGGTAAATACATTTTTCTAGTGAACATGTTTAAGTGAACAATATCACGCGAAAAAAGGCAACATAGAAAACATATTTATTTATTTTTTCGGTATCAATGCAACAAAGGAAAAAACGAATATCATTTCACTTGTATGCTTTGCCCTTTATGTTCAAAAAGTTATGTGCGGTTGACCAACGAATAAGTATCTTCCTCCTTATAAAAAATAAATAATATAAAATAAAAATTATTCTATTTTTAAGAAATGCACATTTCAGAAAAATTAGTTTTTTATTTACCAGTATCTGCTATTTCACCTTGTTTCAAAACAGTCTAATCAAGATATACATTTAAAATCAAAATATTTGTTTAAAATAAAAGAGAAAGAAGTAAATATGTTTAGTTCATCTTTTATTTTTATTGTTTTAACATTATTTATAACCGCAAGCTCACTATGACGACATACCCCTCTGCTATTGTATATTATCATTAAAACTGATTTTAATTGCTTAGTGTTATTCATCGACGCTTTTAATCCCATGTCATGAGGTTAAGATGGACAAAAATAATTTTAAAAAAAGGATTATTAAAAGATTAAATATCGAAATAAAATTGCGCATCATTCAAAATAAAGAAAATCTTTCTTATTTTAGCAAACAAAAGTATTAGATAGATGTGTTCAAATAATGAATACTTAAATTTTTGGATAATTTATAAAAAATGCCTCACTAAACCACCTCTTTTCTACCTATTAAAATTGCATATTAGTGCGTGGAAATTCGATCATTAGAAGATAAATTATTTAGGTTACATCGGTTGCTATGAGCGTTTCATTTTAAATATTTTTTTGATAAATATTGAGAACGAAGCAAATAATTTAGTTTTTTTTTATACATATATTATGAAGATATATTTGACCTACATCATAGTGATTTTTATCACTTTAAATTTTTTTAAAAGTTTTTTTCCAAATTTTCGTGCTTTTGAAAAGATACGAGCAATTAAATTGCAGGAAAAAAAAAACTTTGAAATTTGAATATTTTTTCGGATGAGAAAATTATTTCTGTCATCCAAATGCTGCATTGTGTAAACATATTTTGCCTCGTTTAAATTATGGATTTACCGGGAAACAATTATTATTATTTTTGTTTTAAATCGATAAGTGAAAAAGCAGCTTAAAATAGGCAGCAGCACGCGATATTAAAATAGAGCTTATACAAGGTCGTTCCAAACATAGAAGAATAAAAGTTTAATTTTTAAATCCCATACTTCAGGAAAAGGCAATTTTTGCAACTACGTCAAAAATTTTCTTTCCGTGTTAAATAAAAGCGATGAGTATTGTGGAACAAAACTATCTTTTAAATAATGGGTTCCAGTTAAAACACAGCTCTTGTTTTTCTAAATAAGTAAGTAGATTTCACTAAACTCACTAATAAGTAAGTAGATTTCACTATATACTCTTTGTGGCTACTAAATACTGTGGCACTAAAAAAATTAGGAATTACATAATTTTAATCATTTAGTAAAACAATTTGTCGCTCACTATTCCCCTGTAAAGCGCTTTCTATAAGTGCAGACGATTTTTGCTAAAAGCAATAGCACATTTGGAATAAATTTAAAGATGGAATCGAAAAGTTTGATGGTTAAGTAGCTTTTCAATTGCGAATTTTCTGCAGGTAAGGTCTTTAAGTAATTAAAATCTCTTGGGTTTAATCCAGGGATGGGCAAACTTGTTTGGTCGAGGGAAAAAAATTGAGAAAAATTTAATTTTCGGTGGGTCAAGTAAAAACTTCAAAATTAAAAAAAAAACGAGAAAAAAACGATATACAAGTTTTAATTTAAATATTTAATGAGATTAATGAAATTGCGATTTCTATTTTAAAAGTTCCTTATATTGAGGTTCGAAGTGAGATGTGCTTATTTCAAGGAACGAGGCTAAATGCTTGTCTGTTAGTGTACTTCTGAAATGATTTTTTCTAAGGTTCATAGTTGAAAACTCTTGTTCACATATTTAAGATTAAGCAAACATAGCACTGATTTTCTGGGCATGAAATATTAAATTTAGGAAACTAACTTTTGGTAATAATTTGTGTGGCATATTTAGAAACAAATACTTCAAATGATTGTTAGATTGTCCGCTCGTTGGAGCTTAAAATGCGCTGTCTGCCACATGTGAAGTACAATTCACCTATATGGAGCCAATCTACGGCTATTCTATAAAGAACTTCTACTTTCAACATTTTACCGATTGAAACTGCCTGTGCTAACTATTTCCATCAATTTACGTTTTGTAGAACAAAAATAGAGAAAGTAAATAGGTCATCAGTACTTTGATAAAAGAGAAAGAACAGAAATAGCTTTAAACAAGTTCGACAAGATAATGGATGTATATTGTTTATATTTGCCACGGATCGGCAAGTTAAAAATCTATCCGCGGGCCGGATAAAACCTTTCGGCGGGCCACAGTTGGCCTCGAACATTAATATATAGAGCTATAAATCGATTATTGGATACTAATTAACTGTAAAGATCGACCCAGGCCTGCTCGTCCATGCTCAGCTTCAACAAAAGAGCGCATTAAGGGAATTCGTGAAAAGATACGAAGCAATCTACAACACTCAGTTAATAAAATGGCTGCTGAGGAGAACGTGAATCGGAGAACTATGCAAGTTACACGAGTATTAACTGAACACATGAGTTTTTGTCCTTATCTCAAAAGAAAAGTTAAAGGTGTGACAACTGCACAAAAATTAATAGGTAACAAAAATGTAAGAAATTGATAAACCGGCACGGCAACAAAAGTGATAACAGAATACTTATTTCTGATGAGAAAATATTTTGCACAGAGCAAAGTTATAATGCTAAAAATAATGTTGTATAAGCAGCAACCCTTGATGATATACCTGAAAGTGTGCAAACTGAACAAAGCTTTTAAAACAAGAATTCTATAATAGTTTGGGATGCAGTGTCAAACAACGGAAAATGTCCTCTGATATCCATCGATAAAGGGGTAAAAATCAATTCTGAATATTACAAAAAGGAAGTAGTATTGGCTACACATTTATTGCCACATGACCTGGCAGATTGTATCCAAAAATCGATTGGATATTCCAGCAAGATTCTTCACCATAACACCGAACTAAAACAACGCAGGCTTGGCTCCACGTCAAATTTTATAAGCCAGAAGAGTGGCCCCCTTCTTCACTGGATCTAAATCTTTTAGTTTGGGAGATTCTACAGTCTATGCTAAGCAGCACAGAAGTTTGAACAATCTCAGAGCTACTAGATTGCGTGAATGGGACAGATTACCTCTTAAAATGATTCGTGCCGGCATCGGGCAATGGCGTAAGAGATTATCTTTAGTCATTGATAAAGATGGCGGTCAATTCGAATAAAAATTTTTAAAGGTAACTTTCCATTTATAGTGTTCATCGTAGTTGTGCATTTATCATTTCCTATTTAATATATGTACAATAAAATGATTCGATATTTGTAATAGTATTTTGAAGCCACCCTGTATTTATTACAATATAACAAGGAACTGCCACTTAACAAATCTGGCTTTTTCTATACAAAGCAAACTGAAAAGTTAGGAGTTTAAATGTGATAAAAATTCTCTTTGGTTTTTGTAATTATAAATTCTTAAAAATACAAGTTTTGACTAAAATTATTTAAAAGAATCATCTATTTTATTCTAAACGAATGATAAAAGTTTAAGTAGAACTATTTTTAAGAAAAATCACAAAAAATCAAAGTCGCAAAACATGCAAATCATTTTATTTATCAAAAAAAAAAAAAATGTAAGTTAATTTTTTAATACAAATATTAGAACTAGAGAGGACAAAAGATTTAAAAAAAGAAGAAAAAAGAAAGGAAGGAAAAAAAAACGATTTTGAAAATGAGCCTGTAATTGTTTGCTGAAGAAAAAAAAGTTAATTTTTTTTTTACTGGTTAGTAATAAAAATTTATAACCGTACATACTTCTTACATATAGAACTATATTTCTTCTTATATAGTCATACTAATGAAAAATATACATTAAAATTAAAGCAACTTATCAGAGCCAACACATTTGTAGATTTTAATATTAGAAATTAAAGCCAAATTAGGAGTTAGTTTAAAACAATCTGTAACTAACTAGAAAGAGATCTATCTAAAATAGCGATAAGTGTCTAAAAAAACTGAATTGTCTTCCGTATTGTTTTAATATAAAATGTTAGCATAATATTAATGTAATAAGCGTATTATAATGTTAGCACATTATTAGTATTGTATTAATGTCTATATATTACTGACCCGTTTTCTAGAGAAACTTAAAAATTTGAAGCAAAATGTAAACCATTTAAAAGATGGGCATGAGTAGAAAATACTAAACGAAAATCGAAAATTAAACCTGATATTTACGCGTCCAATGTATTATATTTATATCCATATAAGATCCCTTTCTCATCGAAGTAAACATTTTTAATTATCTGCTATTTTCAGAATAGCACACAATTTTAAAACAAAGTGTAAGGTACCATTTAAAAAATGGACACAAACAAAAAATATTAATTTCGAAAAATTATAAATTCTCTTCAAGCTTTCTTAAAAGAATTTTAAGTGTCGCTTGTATAATTCCATATGAGGCTTCTTTTTCCACCAAGTAAATATATATTTCTGATTGGTATTTTTAAAAAACTTACAACATAGAAACAAATTTTATTTAAAAAAATTCTAAGTTTCGCGAAGCAATTTTTATTGAAAAATGTTTTACTGTCTATCGTGTATTAACATATTCTTCCACCTTTTCACCAAACTAGACACATATTATCGATTGCAATTTTTAGGAAATTCGAAGTGTGTAAACAATGCGTAAGGTACTATTTAAAATATAGACGCTAGAGGAACAATTTTTTTTAAAATTTTAAGTGTCCATTATATCATTACATATTAGACACCTTTTCAAAATTTTACAACTTTGAAGCAAAGTGATAAGTACCATTTGAAAGATGGAGCCAGGTGAAAATATTTTTCAATTGAAAGTTTCGTTGTACTAATTGTTTTATTTTTTTAAGATTATTTTGTATCATCACATATTAGACCACTTATTACCAAAATAAATAGTTATTATTCATACATATTTTTAAAAAATGGCAGCTAGTAGAAAATATTATCGCAAAAAATTTAATTTCATTGATTAATTCATCTCTAACACTCATTTATTAATACACATATCATAAATTTATCTGTTTATTTTTTTGCTAATTTATTTATTTTTATTAGCGGATTCATCGATTCATTATAACTTTATTTTTGTTATGTATTTTTTATTGCAGGCGTGGTGTCGAAAACAGTCAAATTTTACTTTACAATACATTATGGAAAATAGTGCGCATTCTCCTTCCAACTTTAGGTGAGTCATTAAATCTATTAAGTTATTTGACATTGAAAAATAATAATCATTATATAGACTAAAGAAATTATCAGCAAAATACTGGAGTTCAATAATTGGTTTAACTTTTTATACTTATATACATAATATCCACCAGTTTTTTAATTGCATAGATTTAAACATTTTAGACATACTATAGATGCATATTTTTTAAACAACTCCTCTTAAAAAAAGGGGGTATTATTATCATTAGTTAGATATAGTATAATTACTTCAAGTTGCTTATCTTTAGCATTTTCTAAAATCAAATTACTTGCTCGCATATTAAATTTTTGTAATTGAAATTGAAAGGGAATACCAAATGCACACCAGTTTGTATCTCAGTAATTTGAAATGTATTTAAAGTAAAATATATTATATTAATTTTCTAATTGATAACATTAATACAACGTATTCACCAGAAATATATTAATAATACTGACTAACTTTTATAATGGCCACCTCAAAACAACAGCAACCTCCAAAGAAGGGTCATAACATGTTTATAGAAACAACAACTTTTATACATCAGTGGGAACCTTAGAGCAGACATTTCCAAACAGCAAACTTAGTAAACTTATTTTCATTTTTTCCACTGAAACTTAACAATAATTTCAACTGAGCATTATTTAACATATTTAAAAATGTTTTTTTTTTCTAACGTAGACGAAAATGCAGGGGTAGGTTAGGGGTTTTTATTATAATAATTGGTATAAGATAAAGTAAAAGTAGAAATGGTGAAATTGAAAAGTAGATGCCACTGAAAGCAGTTTCAGAATAAAAATTGGAAGTTTTCGGGAAAGAATTTTGTCCTAAAAAATAATTGCACAGACTTTATTCTGAAACTATTGGTATCATTACGAATTTGGTGAAAAAATAGTTTTAAAAAAATTGGAAATAATTAAATTTCTTTAAAAGTTATTTCTAAGATAATAAATAGAGGGTACTGTTAGCAATATATATTTTTGCTGCTAGACACTGTTTGCGATTTATTTAAAATTCTTTGAACAATCAATTTCTTGACAATTCCAAACAACAGCTATATTTTAACATTGGTTAGTTCCACAAGGAACAGTCGTTTAAAGGAATCTGTTTACTGACAAGAAAAAAAAATGTGAAAAAGCTGATAAAATAAAAACAATTTAACTAAAAGTCTTGTGAAAATGTTAAAAAACAAAGTTCACAAAAAATTTTTTGTATAAAAACTAAAATGAATTCTTTTAATTGCTATATATTTTGATTGTCAGCTTTTATTCTTGAGCTAAAAAGCTATTCATTCTTTTTCCCATGTACCTTGAATCAAATTAGATGTGAACTAACAAATTTAAGAAGATTATTTTAGTCACATAATATTTTCATAATTTACATAAAATTTAAAAACTTCCTCCAGAACATCACCTTCCTTCAACCTTAATTCCAATATTAAGTCGTTTAGTTTTTCCTTAATGAAATTTAAATATTCTTCCTTATTTTAATTTTAAGAATTGTTTTATTCCTAAGGGCATTCTTTAAAAAAAAAAAAAATACACCATCTTTGTTAATCAAAAGAAGTCATTCACAGAAGTGCCTTTAATTCTTTTTGTTTATAGGGTGATGGGAACATTGTCAAACATTAAAGAATTTTCAACTGATTTTCATTGTGCTGAGGGATCACCTTTAAATCCAACCAAAAAGTGCCACTTTTGGAAATGAAAAATTAGTCATTAAATATGTGATTTTATTGATGTAAATATCTACATTATAATATACATATACACTATTTATAATTATTCACAATTTGGTTCTTCATTTTCATTACCTATATCTTCTTCTTTTAATGAAATAGGAGCATTGAAATCTGTAAAATAAGAACTATGACATAAATGCAGCTATATACACACATTGAAGTAATTATTTTAACATTTTGAAGTTCATTACCTTTACAAATCATAAAATTTATATGTCTTATACACAAAAATGTTCTTTAGAATAATAATTGTGTCAAAAAATGAAGTATATGAAAATGTTAAAACAGCATTAAACAAAAAGTTTCATACAAAATTTTAAACGTAATTTGAAAAAAATATAAATAGCATTCAATTTAATTTTGTATAAAAACATAACAGTTTCCAGATATTTTTTTTATTTATATTTCACACTGTTTTAAGGTATTAGTATCAATCATCAAATCAATTTAGAGATAATTGCTCTTTAAAATTATATTTTTGTAAACTTAAATAACATAAAGGCAATAAGAAAAACAACAATTAAAGAAAAATAATAATATTATGAGCTATGAGCTGAATTCAATAGAAAATTTGTAGCATAATTAAAAGTACAGTTTCTGTGGTACTGAATCACTTTGTTCAGTAAAAATTTATTATAAAATAATAATAGCACAACTAAATTTAGAAATTTCAAAATTACTTCAATATCATGATTTACAACTTTAAAGGAATTTACGCAAGAATTTATTTCTATATTTAAAGATACTAGAAAAATTTATACAGGTCTATTGAATGCATGTATAAGGAAATTTAATTTAAAATTATTTCAGCTACTGTAATGCACAAAAAAAAAAAAAAAAAAAAAAAAAAAAAAAAAAAAAAAAAAAAAAAAAAAAAAAAAAAAAAAAAAAAAAAAAA